TGCACCCTCAGATTCCAGATTTTCAAATAGTTGTATCTCGGACAAATATTGTTCTATCCTAACAAATCAATAGAAAGCTTATTTATTCAGCTTTCAGATGATATACAAATCTCAATTTCGAGAAATTGACCCTTATGACTGGTTTTGTGGTCCAGTGTAACATATAAAAAAACTAGTCAGTAAAAAAGTTTGTCAATAAAATCATATTATATTGTAGATAGAGTGTGTTTATATAATTGTTTCATTCAAGTGTTTTGCAGTAATCTGTGAGCTATTAAAATAAAAAGCTATGTACAAAATGATAAACATTTTTATTCAGTTTTAACAACTGGATATACTATGAAGCCCTTAAAGGGACATGGTGGTGGAAAAAATACGCGGTGGGAGGAAAAAAATATTTCTCTCACAAAACCAGTTAAGTTCGGACAAACACTTCCTGTTTACTTTACAGCTTACAGTGGTTCATACAGCTCCGTATGTTCACAGTGGAGCGGCTTATACAGTTTTATTTTGAACTTGGACTCAAGTATAAAGAAACACAGTCAGTGCTTAGTTCAAGGCACCGTTTTGGGACATTTTAAAATGCTTAATGTGGCTTAATGTACTAAAACAGTGACATTGGAGGACCAAATTCAGTACACACCATATTAATAATTACTATTAATACTAATGACACTATTAATATTAATAATCTTATTAATAATTTTACTATTAATAAAATATTATTTACATACAAGCAGAAAAGTATGGAATGCCAAACCTGACAAAATTATAAATAAATAAATACATAAATAATTAAATATACAAAAAATAAAAAAAATATATATATATTATTTATACTTTTCTTATGTATATTTTTACATTTTTCCCACATTTATTAATTGTTCCTTTTATTTATTTATACACTTATTTATTTCCATAATATAAATAGCATTTATTTATATATTAATTTCTACATTTATTCATTCATACATTACGTTATTTTCACATGTATTTATTTCTACATTTCTTTGTCTGTAGGGTAATGAGGAGGGCGTGTTTTACCTCAGGAATAGCAATCCAGTCAGAGTAGGCGAGTGGAGGTGTCACTGCGTCCTCAAAGCTTACAATTTGCCTACTCTGGCTCGATTGCTATTAAATAAATAAATAAATGTAGAAATAAATAAAAGAAAAAAATAACTAAATGTGGAAAAAATAAAATATACATAAATAGGGAAATAAATGTATACAAGTTTAAATATTCACTTTTTATTTTATTTTAGTTATTTTGTACTTTTATTTGTATATTTAATCTTTGGAAGCGTGAAGACATTAAACACACGATTGCGACAATATATGGTTTATTTGTGCTTTTTAAAATCATCTCCAGGTAATAAATAAAGTATATGAATAATTCAGTGCTACTTGACATAGCATTTAATACAGTAGGCTAAAAAAAGTGTTTGTAGTACATTAACAAATTATTTATTGGTTATTGTCCAACAGTGTATCTGATTTCTTAGCCAATCAAGTTTAAATATTCACTTTTTATTTTATTTTAGTTATTTTGTACTTTTATTTGTATATTTATTTATTTATTTATTTTTGCTTTTTTTACATTTCTTTGTATATTTATTTATGTATTTATTTATTTCTAATTTTGTCAGATTGGCATTCCATATCCCAGAATATGAACGCTAAAATGCACGTAAGCTTTTTAACCCCCATAGAAAACCGTTGTAAAGAAAACGCTTAACGTGGCTTAGTGGAAGAAGACAGCAATATAAAAAGAGCTAATTTGGCATACAGTTTATTAAGAAATATGCACAGGCAAGCAGATGAACCCAGAATATGAACGCAATGCGCTAAACTACATGTTAGCGTTTTCCTCCCATTAAATCATTATAAAGAAAATGCTTAAGGTAATGGAGGAAGACAGTGATATAAAAAGACCAAACCTGGGTTTTTTTTTTAAACATTTTTGATACAGAATGAGAATAATACAGTTTATTAATAAAATATATTATGCACAGGAATGCAGATAAGCCTATAATATGAACGGAACGTGCTAATTTTTTTTTTTCATAAATTATATATAAATTTTGGGCTTTTTATCAGTCTTCTTATATACCACCACAACGGTTTTCTATGGGTGAGAAAACGCTTAACGTTCTCAGTGTGCTCATATTCTCAGCAAGAGCTGGCGCTCTCTCTGGCAGCGGCAGGTCGCAGCGCCACTTCCGGTGGCATCCCCAGATGCCAAAGCAGCTGCCAGAGTTCGTGGTCTTTCTCGCCGTTTTTGCTTTTTGCTCGCTAAAACTACACT